GGAGGGGAGGGAGGGAAAGAAAAAGCTGATACCCAGGGCTCAAGTAGAAAGAAAAGGTTTTGAAAATGATGATGCCAGCATATATGTACAAATGTGCTTGATACAACTGATGCAAGCTCAATAACATGATTTATTAAAAAAAGAAGTGTCATCGATCTCCCCCGTCCCACGATACCTCACACAACTCCGAAGGAGAATGTTGGATATGCTGATTAGCTTGGAGTCAACATTCATTTTCCTACTCAGAAAGGTAGACTAACACCTAAGAAAAGCTTTACCTCGGGAGGCCAGGTGCCAGGCCAGCAGAACATGCCTCCCTTCCACATGACATGCCAATATTGCTTCAGTGGATAAATACCGTAAAACAGAACAGAGCTGGTTGGAAAGCAACTCCAAGAACATCCTGTTCACAGCCAGGGTCTGGGCAAGAACCTCCTGCCTCTTGGGACATCAATTCTGACAGTTTGCAATATCAATGCAGTCCAAGTCTGGGCCCCTTATTATTGTTAGGACAGCAAATGGGAGGAGACAGACAGACACTCCCTGGGCGAAGGAACACAGGTAGTTGCTGGCTTGACATGGATTGCATGTACGCTGATTCGGATGGTAGGGCGAGATGCTTGAGAGCAAGCTCGCAGAATCAGGAGATTCGAATTTGGAAGCAGCTTCAAGGTCACCGGGCTCCTTTCTCTGGCTTCGGAGACCCTGACCATCTTTCACACACAGGGCACTTGGACATCATGCCCACCTCCTCCTCCTTCTTCTCCCTGCAGCCTGGCAGGCATCAGCTCTGCCAAGTGCCTGCACTGCCACTTCCTTTCCCATTCACGGCACAGGGCTGGCTCAGCACCCTATCTGCCAGGCACGAGTCCCTCCCTGTGCCTAGGACCCCCCACCCCCACGTCCTTCCCAAATCCTGTCTGCCATTGCACACACAGTCATGGAACTGTTCCCTAACTGTCCTTGTTCCTTCCGCGTCCTTAATTCCAAGGCCATTTTGACTGTGTTTCCAGCTGAATACAAACGGTACTGCCTCTCGTAGTTTAATGCCTGACTGAGGCCACTGGACAGCAACGCCTTCAGGGAAGGGGTAGCTCGCTGTCCCCGCCCAGTTCTGCAACAGTATCCATTTCAAAAGACTCTCCTACCCCGAATTGTCCCCATTTGTTACAAGGTACAAATTGAACGTGACTAGGATAACATTTGGAATGCAACCAACTTAAAACAAAAAAAGGGGAAAAGTTATTCTCTGAGAGACAGTTCCACTGATCAAAGCCACCCCTTTGGAGGAGAGGGACAGTGAGGCAGGCGGCGTTTGTCCTGGGCCGATGGGTACGGGATTATGTAGTTGTCTGTCACACACACAGTTTTTTAAGCTCCCAATGCTGTCTGTACCTTCAGTATGTAACCAGGGCTTGACCAGAGTGCTGACAACCAGAACGACCACCTTTCCAAGGAGGGGAGGTGGCACTGGGGTCAGAGTGGGGAAACACGCATTGTTCTGTTCATTCTCAAAGTGGACGGCAGGCATTATGAAATGAGGACACTTATCCGCTCAAAGATAATCAAGATACGGCGAGCTGATGGTTTCTGTTAACTGTCCAAGGGACTTTTGAAAGCAAGCAAATTAACCTAAACCTTTTTTAGTACTTCTGGCCAAGAAACCCTGGCCTGTGCAGAGCACTGTTTGTGGGGAGTCCCTTTCAGCACGGAGGGTGGAAGAAACACAGACTTTAGATCTTGGAGCCTCAGTGCAGCACTTTTCACGAGCCATTTGTACTGGAGGTAGTGAGAATTACGGACCCAAATGCGGGAGAAATTAGGCATCTAACCCCAGTTTCCCCAGACATTTAAAATAAGGCTCTATGTTATCAGATGCGGAGCTCTGGAGGTGTGGCAATTATGCCTGGGGCTAATAACTGCAAGGTCAGCGGCTGGAAGCCATCAGCCACTCCTCTGGAGACAGATGAGGCTTTCCGCAAAGAGGGACAGTCTCAGAAACCCACAGGGGCAGTCCTACCTGTCCTGTAGGGCCGCTCTGAGTCAGAATGCACTTGATGGCAGGGAGTTTTGTTTGGGTTTGGTGTAGTAAGATGGCTTATGGCTTGAAAAACACTCAGAATAGTAGTCACTGTACGAGGTGTGAGAAGACAGAGTCACATTCTCTAGTGATTCACAGCCCAGCTGGTAAAACAACACAACACAACACAGTCAGGTAAACATACTGGCCCAGGGCTGCAGCGTAGACTGTGCTTCTCCCTCTCCAAGTATTGACCTTCATGGTCACCGTGTCAACAGCACAAGGGCCTAGGCTTGAGTCTGCTCTGCTCGGCAGTGATACTCGGGGCCTGGCACTCACTAAGGATCATGGCTGATGGGCTGAAGACCATCTTTAAACTTAGCTCCTGTTGTAGCGAGACCTCAAGCGTCCACTCACTGCTAATGCTTCTTTCCTTTCGAGCACAAAGTCGGATTACACTCACCATCTATCCCTTTGCGGTGAGCTACGGCCACTGTGACTGATTACGTCCAACAGACTGAGAACAGAAGGGACCTGCCTGCCTTCGACTGTTCTTTCTATAGGGTCACAACAGCAAACTCCGAGCCACCTGTGGAAACGGCCGTCAAGAAATCCAACCGCATGTTGCAATGGGCAAACCCAGGGCAGAATACCTCGGTGGTGCTTTGAAAAGCGAAGTTGTTGTTGCTTTGACGACTGGGGAACCTCTACAAAAGGTGGCCGGGGACACACTTAGAAGAGGTGACACACTGCAACTGTGGTGCTGGTGAAGAGCAGGGACCCTCCAAAAGGAGGAACCCCTGAATCTGACGAGAAACGCATTCAGAATGTTCCTAAGACGGGAGCACGGCCAGGCTTGGACTGGCTTACCTGACCGGGGAAGACCAGCAGCTAGACAAGGATGTCTTATTTGGCAAACAAATGTGGGAAACTCAGCGAGAGAGGCCATGGAATAGCCGCGAAGGACTCAAAACACAGCAGCGGTCAAGGGGACGGCGCGGGGCTGGGCAAAGTCCTCATGACGCAGAGCTGACTTGCTGGCAACTAACAACAAAAATCTCCCAGTCAGAGCGCCCCAAGGCCAGCCTTCAGAAAGCCGAGAGGCGGCTTTGGGTTTACATTCACAGCAGGCCAAATCGGGTCT